TCATATATTGAGTTTAAAAATATGGAATTTCTACAGCTCAAAATAGGAAAAATAATTTCACCTCAATGCATGGGGAGAAAAGCATTCGCCAAATAGCATCTATCAGCCCAATCTAAAAACTTTTCAGTCAAAGTGTTTGGAGCCGTCTGTTGCTATGGAAACAAGAAAAACGTTTTTTGAAAGAGGTCCGGCTCTTGCTTACTTCCCTCACTGACTCTAGTCAAAACCTGCTTTACTTGAAATAGTTTAAACTCGTAACCATGGTCATAGACGGTGCTCTAGCTGTAGCGAGGGAAGTTCTTTAGTTAGACAGACAGTAGATATTCATATATGTACTAAAAAGCTTCGATTTTGTTTTAAGATACTTTCTTGCAGATATATTTATCGTACACTAACAAATGGGAGTTTGTTTAAAACATATAAATGCTTTGCCTCATTTTTAATGAATAATTATTATTTGAAGTTGTAAAGTGCATGTGGATCATCCATAGAAAGTTTTATAATAGAAAGTGGAGGAATGTAATCTGGCCAATTTCTGGGTTGGGCTGTAGTTTGTCGGAAAAATATGCCATTAGGTTTAGTACGAAATCTTCCTTGCCACTCTTTAGGTCCTGCTCTCCATTGGTCATGCGGCTGGTTGTTTAGTGAGTTTGAATTCTTAAATGGTCGTTTCATAAACGGTTTCATGTGGTGTGCTTTCGATAGTTGCCATTGCGGTTTTGAAAGCGAATCTAGCCATTTCGGCTGGTACATTGGAGATTGCCACTGTGGCTTGGACTGTGGGTTTTTCCAAGGCATTTTTCCAAAGCTGGAAGATGGTTTATTAATTGAACTTTACAAATCCAGATCTCCGCCTTGGTGGTTGTGGTTCGGTGCAACCTATACTGAAGTGGATGAATAATGCTGATAGTAATGTCCGTTCCAATTTTGATGCTGGCTGTAGACTGTGTTCAGAAAGCAGATCACAATACTGAGAATCATTCCCCCAAGTCTGAGCCAATGCATCTGCACAAGAAATTTTATAAGGTTAATCGGATGTTAATAATTTGTAAAAAAAAAAAAAAAGAATAACCAGCATTAGGTGCGTAATACATATTCGGTGATGAATTCTTCCCGAAAAATTAAGTCGGAATTTTAACGTTGATTGACTACGGGAGAACCTCTTAGCAAATTCTGTTTCATCTCTGTCTTATTTTATAACCGTCGCTGAACTGCCGACCCAATTTTCGGGTTTACGACTACTAATGTGCAACTCCGTAGCCTTATAATTTTGAACCTAATCAAGAAGACAAGGACTGGATTAGGTATTGCGAGGAATTTGCCTTCATGGAAGACTTTTCGATGGAACTAACCCGCATTTGCATTGCGCGTTACATGGAGTAGAAATCCACGAAAATCTCACACGTTTAGTCTGAAGACGAAGAGACCATGATCCGTCTACCATTATGGTTATTTTACGTCAGCATTGTGGTTGGTGCGAAACGGGTGCGGAATTCTTATGGACCAGCCGATTAAATTTTAAACTAGCAGAATTTCAACTATCAGCTGAAACAGAATTAGCCACAAAGTATTTATTTCGCAGTAAAGCGTCTTTTTAATGTAACTTTAACTCTGTGTATTTCTCTGACCCTAAATGTACTTAATTGGATATAATATGAAAACAAAAACACAACTATTTCCACTTCGAAAATTTTACTAGTAATAACATTTACCTTTTAATTTAATTAATAAACTGAATTTTAAATATGTTTATTAAATACATAAACTTAGATAAAGCAATAAAATCAATTATTTTAAAATGAACTAGACTAATACAATTCCAACCTGGCTATAGTCCATTCCACCTTAAGTTGGCACTGGAGAGAAAGGTAGGTAGACCGGATTACAGCCGTTGTCATGGAAACTGGGTTACTCTTTAAGTCAGTTGGGGGATGAGGTTGCAAAAGAGGGTGAGAAAGTGGCCAGTATTGGCGTTTAAGAAAGCAAAACGCCGACTTTTTTTTTAAAACCAAGAATCATACTAAAATTTTGAAGATACTAGTTGTAAGCTGATTTCTTAATTAGTACTTAAAAAGCAGATTTTCTTATTATGATTTTTAGACTAAACGAAGCTAATTTTAAACAACAGAAAAAAATATATATTTAAAAAGATTCTTTTTCGCTGAAATCTAAGTAAAAAAAAAAAAAAGAAATGCATAGATGAGCATAAATACTTTGTCTTAAATATTTATTTTTATATTCTTATTTTTTTGTAGATTAATGTACATTAATTTATCCCACATTGGTGTTTTGATGAAGAAGGAAAAATCAGCATAGGCAGGAAATTATTGATCATGAAAAAGATCGTACTTATGTTTTATAATATTTACTGTTCTTTTTTTTCTTTCTTATTATGATTTTTTAATTGAACGAAACTAATTTTAAACAAAAAATATATATTTGAAAAGATTCTTTTTTGGTGAAATGTAAATAAAAAAAAAGAAATGCATGGATGCGTATAAATACGTTGTTTTAAATGTTTATTTTTATTTGCGTATTTCTTGGAAATTAATGTACATTAATTTATCCTTCATTGGTGTTTTGTGGGAGAAGAAAAAGTCAACATAGGCAGGAAATCATTGATCATGAAAAATATCATACCTAGGTTTTTTTAATATTTACTGTTCTCTTTTTTTATAAATAAAAAATTCAAATTCTTTTTTCAGAAAAGTTTCTTTTTTTTACTATAAATTTTTTTTTCTGCAATATATTTTTCTAAGAGACAAAAGAACTTACCGAAAAAAAATAATTCTCAAAAATGGTATGAATTTGGATTTTTAGTATTATCCACATGGAGGGCGTACTACTTGCACGCCCTCCCCCCATGTTTTCAGCTGCCTTATTCCACCCTCTTAGACTCAACAGGAACTCTTTGAATAACATGATAACCACCTATCCTGTTGGTTATCATGTTATTCATTTAATAATTTGACAGTTCCTTCTTCAAACTCTTTGGGGAGTCGCCCTGAATTGAATTCAATCCACAAATTCTCATCAGAAGAAATTCTATTTGGGTGGTTAGACGTATTTCTTCAAAAGAAAATACATATTTTAAAATATCAGAACCTTCCTTTACTTTTCAGGATCTTTTCGGGTGAAAGGAGGCTTAAGAGAAAAATCCGTATAATTAGTTATTTAAGTATAGTACAATTAGTTAGTCTCGAAATATTTTGTCAGATACTGAAACATCTTAACATTTTCTACGTAAGAAAAAGAATTTCTCAGTTTTTTTGGCTTTGTATTTTAAAAATAATAATTAAAATATTGATTGGTTTAAATTAACCTTTCGATGTTTTAAAAAAAATTAATGATTCAAATGTTGTGTCTTTTTTTGAAATTATTTCAATTCCTATACATTTTATTAGTTTATAACTAACGGATTTGTACACTTATATTATGGAATTTGTATTTCAGATAATATTTAAAAGTCCCTTTAATTAAACAAACTAAAAATCTTAAATTTCCGCATTTTTAAAGTTTCTATAAAAAGTGAATTGTACTTTAGAGCTACACATGGTGCAAAAGACACAAAATTTGAATCTTTACAGAGATTGAATAGAGCGAAAACATTTTTTACTTTTGTCGTAAAAAAATAATAATAATATCACGTATTGAATTAGCTACACAGCAAATATACTCAACTGTCATCAGTTTAATTGTTTAATAATATTCACCTTCACCTGTCTATTTCGGTGGTTTTTTTTTTTCATTCATTCTGAAGGAAAAAAATTTTTCAATTAAATATTGTACATATGAGGTTAATATTTAGAAAATTAAATAATCGAATATAAAAAGAAAGCGAAATAAGAGCTGCACAAGAGATAGGACACTTAAGCAAAGGCAAGGAGAATGGAAAGAGCTGGCTGACCAGTGTATAAACATAGCTAACGCGCCAATTTCTTGGCCTTGAAAACAGATCCAGCGCCAAATCTCCTTCTTCTTTGTTGTTGTTGTTAATTTACGTCGAACTGGAGCTGCACAATGGGCTATTGGCGATGGTCTGGGAAGCATCCCGGAGGATGATCCGAAGGCATGCCATCACAATTTTGATCCTCTGCGGAGGGGATGGAACCCGTGCTTCGGTAGCCCGATGACCTGCGCGCGAAGTCGAGCACTTTACGGTAAAGCAGTTTAACGAGGACCAATACCGCACACCCTCGGTCCCTACGCAGACTGATCCAAGTGGTCACCCACCCGCACACTGACCGTAGCAGTGATGCTTGACTTCGGTGATCTGCTGGGAACCGTGTCTTAACGATCAGTCCACTGCAGGACCCTTCTTCTTTGTGCATTCGCTTTACTATGAAGGTGCTTATAAGTAAAATACATTTAAACGTGAAAAACTTCTAATGCATGTTTCAAGATAAACTTTTATTATTATACAACATTTATTTATATTTGTACGCGCATTTAAACTGCAATTAATTCCAAAATAGTGAAGAACTACTTTTCAAAGGCGGAATATTACATTTCTTACCCTTCCCTGCCAACTTAAGGTGGAATGGACTATAACTACGGAGCCATTGGCCACGGGTTCGAATCCTGCTCAGGGCATGGATGTTTCTTTCTCTCTCTGTGTTCAATGTCCTTTCCTCTTTGTGTGAATGTGACCGGCCCTATATACAGGTTTGTGGTTGTGTGACGTGGGTGACGCTGCTCCATCACCGTGGCTTCGCCACATGTGCCCTCTGGGGAACGAGAAGAGAGTAGCAGTTCGGGCATTTCTGTGGCCAATGGGACAAACCCCACGTGGTGGCCATTAAAAAAAATAATGAAAATCTTAAAAATTTGTAAGTAATGGTAGTAGTAAAATAAACCACATAATAAGTGGTAAGGTAAACCTAAAAAATAGTTTTTTTTGGTTGTCTTAACATGACAGTTAAGGTTATTATATAACTCAGTCGGTAACTTTGTCATTTAAAATTTTTTTTGTCAATTAAAGCTTGAACCTTGACATGTTTTAACTGAAAACCTGGCATCACTACTCTTAACATGTGGAGTGACTGCGCGGGAGCATGCGTGATTATGTAAACTTGAGCGTGGCCATCTTACATTTCTAAAACTGTGACTCACGTGAATTTAGTGTAAAATTTATTTGCAATAATTGTAAATATTTTAAAATTTCCTCATCATGGATGCTAATAAACTCACCGAAATATTACGTGCTACGATTGATCCTAATCAAAGAGAAGCCGCTGAGAAACAGCTAGAGCAGGTATCGGAAATTTGCCGGTATTTGTTTTCTAAACAAAACCCTCCTTTTATTTCAATTACAATTTATTGTTTATTTTGTTGTATGTATTGTAATTGATCTCTTATTATACTCCAAGTTTTATTTGAATCATTAATCTTTAGTTTTTATATTAAAAAAATATGTCATATCCACGCCACCACGAACTTCAAAGAAAGGAAACTTTTTAAATTAGTCAACAATGAAAAGAAAAACGTTTCTAGAAATAGATAAGTTTGTTATTTTTGTGAATTTTATTTCTTTTTAACGAATGTAGGCGATTTTTAAATTAACATATAAATTCATATTAAGTTATATCTATTGAACAGGCAAAATCACAATAGAATAACGCAAAATAATTGCCAGGTCTTAGCAAATTTCTGGCTGTGGCCCGCAAGAAAATAAAATAATCACAGAGGACATACTCGAAGGGTATAACTCTTTGACACCCGCTGACAAGCCGCTAGAGGCTTTTTTCTTTTTAAATTTGCGAGTTTAAAATCCTTTTGGCGCTTTTCTTGGTTGTAGTTGGCGCAACAGATCTTGATACGAAAATATCGCTTAGATATCTATAATTTCTCCAGTTTTATGAATCTTCTACCTTTAACATCTAAGATCTTGGTCTAATCTAGGATTTATATCTTGATGTTTATTTTTATGGATCATTAAGAGATATTTACATTTTGATACTTGCTTGAGCCAACAACCACCTCTAAGGCTCTGAATGGAATTTTGTACTTTCAAAAATTATGTTGAATTTTGTTAATTTATATATGAAGAATTTTCAGCAACCAGAAGAAAAAATTCTTATCCTAATTATGAAATTTTTTTTTAAAGTGTCTAAAAAATGTAATTGAGTACAGGGGTCTGTTTAGAAGAAATTTGGGTCCGTTAACGGACTCTTCGCAAAATATGTTTTCATAAAAACGGACCCTTCACAAAATATTTTAACTTAAAAACGGACCCTTCACAAAATGATTTTTCTTTTCGGACCCTTCACAAATTCAAATCGGACCCTTCACAAATTTGTTTATCTTCATTATTATTTTGTTAATCGAATAAGCCCTTTCCAGGGCAGAAAACAAGAAAGATGGATGTAAACGAATTAAGTTTTGTCTTCGGCAGACGATTCTTCCATTATTCGTCCAAAATGAATATTTTGCATTCAGCAGTATAGGCTAAATACCAAATATTTGTATGTTGCATCTCTAATTTAGAAACAGCAATTGTTGTTTATTTTTTTAAATTTAATTTTTTTAATTATAATTTTACAGTGTTGAGCATAATCTTGTATGTTCTTTACGATTTAAAAACTCCTTGAAAAAGGTTTTTTTTTGCAATAAAGGACCCTATTTGCACAAATTCATAAAAGCGAACCCTGATTGAAAGAATGTGAGTAATTTTTTCACGAAAAATGGACCTTTCACAAAATGTCTGGACAGATCCCTGGAGTACTAAAAAGGGGCTAATTTTTTGTTGAAAAATTTGGCTACGCACCTTTTAAATGAAAATATGTTTCCTTGTATATGTTTCCATTAAAACTGCTATTTTTAGCGAAATATATGCTGATGTGTATAAAGCATATTTATGTATCAGAATACCTTTTTTTAAAATGAATTTTGGTTTTTTTTTAATACAATGTTATTACAACATTGGAATGAGAGTTATTATTCTTATTTGAATGTAACTTTAAATGCGTTCAAATTAAGACAATTCCGCTGTAACTTCACGCCATCCGTTGATAATTATTTCGTCATTTTCCTCTAGGTATAGGATTCTCTTGTTTTTTAAAACGTTATTACAATACACATGATTTTAATTGAGTCTTGATGTGTTTGATTCATGATGCTGTTGTAAAATAATGTTGTTTGTCCAAGAATCTTCCATGGAACAATTTTATGAAGAAAGTGAAATTCCCTGAAGGGGCTATTTTTATAAACTAGAATTTTTGTGAATGGGCCGTTTTTTTAATATGTGTATGTTGTGGAGAGGCCTCAATTTCTACCTGGATCAATAACTGGTATCTGTCCCCAAAATTTATTTTTCAGTATAACTAGATAAAATGTATGCACTTATTAGTGTTTTAAGAAGCGTTATTCATATTGCATTTGCAGATAACGGAAAATAGTTAAGTAATTCACTCTTCATTTATTTTACTATATTTTTTTACTGTCTTGTTTTCTTTTTTTATTATGTATATATCTCTGATTTATTTTATATTAAAGAGTAAAATAAATAGTGCTTTTTTATAAAATAATCAGGCATCCAATGGTACTTGAAAAACCTTGAGTTATATTGAAAGTAATCAGGGTCCGGAAAAAAGTTTTTGATTTTCTCAAAGTAATTTTCAAAATAAAATTAAAAATTTTTCTTACATATAAGTAAAAAAAAAAAAAAAAACGAGAAACTTCAAGCAAAATTATAGAAATTTTGATCACTCGCCCTTTCGATGTTTTCTTTACTGAAGGATAGTTCAAGGTCAGCTAGGTGGGAATCTCAACGTCTGATCTACATTTAGAAGAATTCCCTTATCCTTATTTATTCCTCTTTTGTATTACCATTCGAAAAACCATTTAATAGTGTGAATAATTTTGACATTTTTTCTATTTGTTATATAATACAGATCATAATTATAAGAGTATCTAATGTAAGTATTGTGCATGATTTAATATCTAATAAAATGTCTCCCATGTCAAAAAAGAATATTGTCCAGCTTTTTTACATTTTATTGATACGCTGCAAGAATTTTGTTTCGTGTACATGTAATTTCTTTTTCCAGACATTTCAAAGAAAGAAAATTTCCTATTATAAATTACAAGTAGTGTTATATATTTTTTACACAATATAGTATGCAAATATTAATTTTTTGTGGTTCATTGTATATTTTGATCATTGTATATACTGACAATGTGTCAGTTCATATTACGGTATTAGACTGGAATTTTTTAGAAATGTATCTGGATGATTCAGGGAATTTTGTTCTTCTACTTGAGTAGCAACTCTGCAAAAAAGGCCGAAAAAATGATTAGCTTCCGAAAAATTATCACCAAGCGACGTGACATTATCAAAGAAGTTATAGCTCAAGTTCGGAATGTGCATGTCGTAATAATGTTTTAAACATATCAGAATTTTTAAAACAAATGAGAAAACTATTGAAATAAACTTCCAGAAAACCACGTGGATTTACAAAATCGGTGCAGATATACCTCTTATTTTCTTTGATATATCTGAACTGCGATTATCTGTAGTAGTGTATCACACAATCATTTTATGCATAACATTACAGTGAATAGGAAAACACATTTGATTGAAATGCTAATATGAGTGTGTAGTAGAGTTTATTGTTATGATACAGTCAAACCTCATTAACGCGAAATCACTTTACATGAAACACATGTTTGGTCCTGTGGGTCAGAAAATAATTTATTATTGTAGTTAACATGTTTCACATGAAATTTTCCAGCAGATTATCGCTTAACATGAAAGAAAACTGGACACAACTTAGATAAGAAGTGCCAATTGTTCATTTTTAAGAATGTTATTTCCATTATCCACATTTGTTGGAACTAGCAGATGGGCAAATTAAAATAGTTAAATAAAGTTATTAAAAAAAATTTTAAGCTTATTTTAATTGGTTTGGTACATAATATTATTTAGATACTTAAGCGTAGTACATAATATGTATTAATAGTATGCAATAAATTGGTCTCATAATGTATCGGATAAGATGAAATCTGGTTAACATAAATAATTATAATAGTCTCGTCAATTTCTTGTTAACGAGGTTCAACTGTACTGGATCATTTCTCTTTGATATTTATTAAGATTAAGGAATTAGTAAGGATAAAATGTTTTTTTTTTTTAGGTACACAAAATCATTGGATTTGCACCTTCTCTGCTACAAGTGGTCATGATGAATTCAGTAGAGATGCCGGTTAGACAAGCTGGAGTCATCTATTTAAAAAACATGGTTGCTCAGTTTTGGCAGGATAAGGAAGGAGAGCCTCTGCTTTTTACTATTCATGAGCAAGACAGAGCTATGATAAGAGATTCAATTGTAGATGCCCTTGTTTATGCAGCTGATTTAATTAGGTAATATTTCCTTAAATAGTATCAATGATAAAAAAAATTTTTAAATTTCTACTTTATCTAAAAATCGAGTTATTAAAAAATAAATGGTTACTATTTTTACAAAACCTTATTAAAAAGATGCTAATTTCAGAAGAAAAAAAAACTGAGTCTGTTATTTTAACAAAAATATTTTAGGGGAAAAAAAATTAAAAAACATTTTTGCGAAACAGAAAGTCAAAGAAAAAATCTATTTTATAATTCGTGTAAAAAAAATAACGTCATTTTCTGGTGAAATCAAACGTGCCAGGTAAAGTGATAACTAAAGTTAAAGATTCTCTGTCATATTAACATTATATTTAAAATATTACATTTGATTTACTTTTTTAGATTTGAGAATTCATTCAAAATAGTGCTCTTCTTTCTCTTGACGTGTAATTTTCACAATATTTGGTTTTTAAATTTTGCGAATATGAATCGTGATGTGTGATTTTTAAATCTTCATTTACAAGTTTCATACTATAAGAGTTGAAACCCTTCAGATATTTAAAGTAATACAAATTAATGCCGTTGTTTTGCATCTAGCGGTTCAACAGTAGAATGGCTTATTACAGTATAGGGCTTTAGCTGTTAGCCCTCTGGTGGGGAGATTTTAAAATTAAACTATTTTTTACTGTTGCATTTTTTAACGCCTGTGAATATGGTTCAATATGGTTCACACCCGTGAATATGGTTCATTTTTAAATCTTACTAATACTGAACTTAATGTGTAATTTTTTATAATCTCGTCAGTTTGTATTTTGTGTGATTTTTAAATCATGTGAATATGAATCACCATGTATGATTTTTTAAATGCGGGAATATGAATAAGAAGTGTTATTAAACTTAACTTGCATGTAAAATTCATTACAAAACATGCACATGTATTTTGAATTATTTTCCTTCATAAGAGCATGCATTTAATGAAAATATTTAGATGCCGTATTTTCATTCTTTCTCTGGGAAGATGTCAATTTTTGTAGGATATTTAAAATTTTTGTGAAAGTATTGTTTTTAATGCAACGATTTCTGTGAAGATAATGTTTTCGTCCGGTTGATTTTTCTTGTAGTACCGATAAATGATAGTAAAATTCACATGCATTAGGCCCTGATAAAGTAAATCTAACAAGAAAATCACAAAATCTTCTGAGAGCAACAGAATACAATTCAATTTAGAGCACTAAATTCCTAAACTTGTGTTCTAATAGTAATGAGAATTTTGAAATTTTCAATTTATGGACTATTAAATCATATTTGTTTTTTAGCTTTAACAATGTAAATGACTAAGTCAGATTATTATTTAACATTAGAGTTTTATTTGATTTTACTTTTTTTGTTACTAATGTACTTCATACTTTCATATTCCTTAACAGAATAAAAATCGATCTTTCTTTAAAACTGCACAAAATATCTGAACAGGATCAAGGTCTGTGAATGATAGTTTACTAAAAGAAAATGTTACTAAATTTAAATTTACAGATATAGGAAATGTAGAAAAGTTTTTTTTCTTTCTTTTCTTTTCTTTTTTTGTTCAAAACAACAAAATATTAGTTCAGAACACTTGTAAGGATATCTCAGATTTGATTGGATAAGCCAAATCAATTGATTATACATTCAGTTTTCTACTTATTGTTAATTCATAAATGCTATGTCATTTGAAAATGTTTCGTTTATTATAATTTTGATTAAAATTATATGTGTAAATTTTAGGGTTCAGTTGGCTGTGTGTGTTAGCAACATTGTGAAACATGATTTCCCTGGAAAATGGACTGGAATTGTAGATAAGATCTCAGTCTATTTACAAATGAATGATAGTAATGTCTGTATGGGAGCATTGCTGTGTTTATATCAACTAGTCAAGAATTTTGAGTATGTTCTTTCTTTGTTTTTGTATATTACATTTTCGGACAATAGTATATGTTAAGAAACAGATGTAAGGGATTCAAGATTTCTCCTCCTTATAAACAATAGACACATTTTATTGTGATTAAATTTAGCCGATTTAAAGATTCATTTTAGGAAATTCATTACAATACTATTTGTAAAACATTTAATTGAAAAATAAATATTTTTATGGCACATGGTGACTGCTAATCTTTGCCCTATATAAGTTATTGAAACTTAATTTTTTTTAAAAATTTATTTAAGATTAAGTTATTTTTCTTTTAAAAACAAAGCCTGATTTTTTTTAAAAACTGTTAATTTTTTGTTTGTACTAGTTTAAACCAATGTGGTTAAAACCAGCCAACCCTGTTGTAAACCAAAATATGAGGAGACTGCCCATCATTTGCATATTCCCCCTAGATCTAAAATATTTATTCTGGTTATTTTTTAGGTTAATACAATATGAAGCTACTTATCCGGTATTTCAGGAACTGAAGTATGACAAAATCTGGCAATTTTTAAAATCTCAACTTTAAAGAAATCAATTTTTTTTAGGGAATAGAAATACAAGCTTTAAAAATATTACAAACTCAGACTTTTCTACTTTTTTAATCCCAAACTTTGCCAAAAAAAAGATTTATATTGTTAAAAATTCAAATTCCCAAGCATAACCACATGTTCCACGATTCAATAGTGTGAGCTTATGTTGAAAAGTAAAAGCATGCATGTCCTTATACCCTAAACATTTCATTAATCTATCCTTCTTTGTCAGCAAATGCCTTTTCTGAAATTTAGTTTTCTCTGACATCATGCAAATATTTGCCAAAAACAAACCACAAGGAAAGTTCATCACTGCCAAGTAGACTGAAAAATTCTCACCTAATTTCAGTCAGAATGATTACTAAAAAAATATTTCTTTTAATAGATATACTGTAAGGGGGCGAAAACATGCACATGAGTCCAAGGTCAAATTATATTGCGTTGGTACTTTTTCAAAGTCACATAAAAAGTGGTGATCGTGTTTCAATAAAAGGAAGTCTACGGTTACCCTCAAATATCTATTTAAAGAGTTAACTTTTGCCGTACCTGACATCACTTTACTCAACTGACCAAAGTAGTTCTTTATTCTTTCCTGTATGAAGATGCAACATAATCATTCTTAGAGAGATTTAGTAATATTTTGCACAATTTGTAATCAGTAATCCATTGCACAATTTAAACGTGATTAGATGGAAGAACATCCACTAAATTACTTTGGCAACAATACAAAATCGTAAGCTCCACAATTTATATATTAAAATAGAAGGATGCACTGCTGAAATTCTGCAGTAACCAGTGATTTTGCAAAATTAATGAGTAAATGAAAAACATTAAATCAGCTTCATTCATTCGAAAATGCTCGGAATTTTTCAACAACATGAAAGATTTCCATAAACAATTCATTATAAAAGGTGCCCTTTGCAAGATTGCTGACATATAGAATGAAGTTGAAAAAAGATACCCTCATTAACGTTTTGTACAAGGTTTGGCCAGCATTAACTTTTCTTAATACAGGTGATGACAAATTTCTTTGTGTTTCCGTGCTAAAAGAAAAAGAAATCACCCAGGAGCTTATGAGTCTGCCGAAAGTATTTCAAGTGACATTGAAATAGATGAAAAATTCTTTGAAGTCAAAATATACCGATTCGCTATTAACAGTTGACGAGAATGTTCCGAGCCAGAAGATGATTGTATGGAGGAGGTAGAAAATATTTTGAAATCAAGGAATGGAAAGAAGAAAAAAAATTTAAAGAAGGAAGTGGTAGTAAAATGTAAAAGGAAAAATTATTTCTAGACAAATAAGTTTTTATATTTTACCAGAGACCAATCATATCGACATAGGATAATCAGGCATTATGTTTAATTTATTCATTTGTACTGGCAGTTAAAATCATTTTTTAACAATTTTAAAAAGAGAAATTCTGGTAGAATTTGGCAGCAGCTATTTTTTATGATCCTCCTAATCCACTATGAACTGTTTTATGCTTAAAAGATTTTTTCTTTCCTAAACTTTTTAAAGGAAATAAAAAAATTATGTATCAAGATGCATGCATAATATGGTGTTTTATGACATTTAAAAAGGAATTCTTTGCTGTTCTGGCATTAAATTTAGATAATTTGTTTTCCAGATATAAGGGTGCAGAGGAACGTACTCCTTTGAATGAAGCTATGAATCTACTTCTTCCCATGATATACCAGCGATGCGTCCAGTTATTATCCGATCACTCTGACATATCAGTCTTATTGCAAAAGCAAATTTTAAAAATATTTTTTGCTCTAGTTCAGTACTTTTTACCTCTTACATTGATTACCCGTGAAATCTTTTCTCAATGGATGGAAATTTTTCGCACTGTTGTTGGAAGGCCAGTTCCTGAAGTAAGTATTTGTTCAATTGATTGACCCAATCAAACTACAGTTGAACCTCGATTTAACAAATTGATTGAGACTGACAAATCCGTTCGTTAAATCGAGTATCAATTTTTGTAAAAAGTATGGTATAAAAATATCAATGCAAAGTACCCTTAGATATACAGATATGAAAGAAAGTGATTATTGTTAAGAATTATAAGTTATATGTTAGAAAATCAACTTTAAAATGATCTTAATTCTTTAACGTTATTTGCTTTTAAAACTTAATACATACATAAAATTACAATCTTGGATTAGTGTGTGAAATATTCAAAATTTTAAGTGTGAAAAATTAAAAGTTTTAGTTTTATGTAAAAAAATTTTCCCAGCGTTTGTTGTTCATTGAATCAAGGTTAAATGAGAGTATTTTAGCACCCTTTTCGCCGGACCCGAAGAAATATTCATTAAATGGGAGAATTTGTTAAGTCGAAGTGCATTAAATCGAGGTTCGACTACACTAATTCTACGATACTTCTTTATTACACTACATTTTAGGATAAAATTATTTCAACTGGTGTCTAAACATATTAACTGTTTTACAATTATTATTTTTTGTGCAAATTGCCATAATATACTATTATAAATTACATTTATTTATATTCGCTTCATAATTAAGAACTTCCCGATCATCTTCTTGCACGACGTGTTACTTGCACAAATTTTAATATATCAGCCTGTTTGGTAAACCAAGATGTTAAATTATGGTTGGCTCACCAAAATTGTTATAATCATAAATCTTCAATTTTAAAATACGTTACTGAACATAATTATTTTTGTTCACTAATCAATCTTAATATGATCCAAAGGAAGATGTTTAGGCGTGGGAAACATTAGCAAACAAAGTTCTTTTTATTGTAAATACAAACGAATAATTTCAACTTTCTTAGAAAAAAACTGTTTTATACCAACAATGTAAAAAATTATGGTAAAAAGTACCCTGTGTGCTACACCAGATTTTTTGTTTTGTGGAGAAAAAAAAAATCTGATATAGCATTATTGCATGATTTTTTTCAGTAAAATCTCTGTAATAAAATTTTACTGTTAAAACTATGTTATAAAATTTTACAGTAAAAACGGTTTTTATGGTGAAATTAATGATGATTCTCCTAATTACTTTTTTCCATAAATTTATCTAAACATTTTTACAGTGTAGATATAACAATTATTGTTAAGCAATCTTTGGGGTTGGTGATCTGTATTATCAGACTTAGCCCTCTTTTATTAGGACATGATGTATCATTTGATGTAATAGAAGGGTAGCTGCTGTGGTGAATGGTTATAGACTTCTATACTGTGGGGTGTAGGAGACTGTATTGTTTTTATTTATTTTAAGGATCGATTAAAATGCATTCAGGCAATTTTCTTGAAGTATAATATAAACTAAATAAGAAAGAGAATGCTTATTTTCATTGACATTTTAAAGTAACACTAATATTATTTTTATTTAAGGTGAAGGATACTACTTTAGATGAAGAGGAAATAGCAGACTTACCTTGGTGGAAATGCAAAAAATGGGCATTGCATATACTAACTAGAGTTTTTGAAAGGTAAATAGTTTTTATAAAATGCTGCATATTTATTCATTTTGAGGTGATTATATCGAATATTTTTCATGGTGCTTATTTTCGTTTTTTATAAGCCCTTAAAGGTGCTTTTTTCAGTGGGTGTTCTTAAAAAGGGCTCGATTTTTCCGAAATGAGACTTTTTTGCTGTGTCGATTTTTTTTCTCCGAAAGTTTTTGTAAATAAGTGAAAAATTATATGTTTAATCGGAAAAGGTATGTTTTTCTGTTTGATTTTATAGCTTAATTAATAATTAGCACTGATTAATTAGCATATATAAAGTCACCTACTAAACCGCTAAGAGTGAAAATTCTTAAAAATTCAGTCATTAGAATGAAAGTTACCCGTGGTATTTGTTTCTTTTCATTTTGTGCACTGTGTGATATAAAGTATATGTTAAAATATATGTTATTGTGAAATTTGCTTATTTTTTTCATAAAAAATTAGTTTCAATGCATTAAATAATTCTGTTTCTGATATACTGCCATGTTTTTCAAAATTAGTCTGTCATTTTATTGACGTTTTCTAGGAATCCTAGAAAAGTCAAGGAATTTTAATATTTCTGGAATTAAACGAGAAAAAGGAGAAAAAAAAATGGGAGGGTAATAATTATTATTCTATACATATTCATTGTGATGACTAAGGATATAAGGAAATGAAGGAAAAATTTCACTTCTGTCTTGTGTGATTAATATGCTACACATATTCATTGTAATGCATTAATTATTATGTGTGAATTCCAGGTACGGTAGTCCAGAAAATGTCTCAAAGGAATATCAAGAATTTGCTGTATATTATTTGAAAACTTATACTGGAGGTATTCTGGAAGTGTTGCTGAAAGTTCTTGACCAGTTTCGACAAAAGGTCTTTGTTTCGCCACGTGTCCTGCAATTAACCCTAAATTATATCAATGAAGCGCAAGTATTTATTTGATGTTTATTTTTTCAGATAATTCTTTGTATGTTTATTTTCACCATGGTTAAAAAAAAGTTTTTTCTAAATAATTAATACTCTACTATAAAAAATTCACAGTCTTTATTTGGAAATGAAAGAAGTTTTTAAGAAGTACTTGGAATAACTTAGGTTCATCCCTTAAAAACTCATTAGATTGTTGCAATTAATCTTTTTGTAACTAATACAGCAGTTGAAATCCGACATTTTTATGATTTTTACAAGTTTGATGGTTATAAACTTATGTTTTATAATATGTTATTGTAAGAAATTTAAGTTCTTTTTTTACGTCCGGCGTCAAGGAATTACCTTGTTGTAGAAACAAAAACAATTAACTAATCTAAACTAAGAAACCATGTGTAGATTGGAATTCTTTAAATATTCTTATTTCAAATAAGGAATAAAAAATAATTTATCTAGTTTTTTTCTTCAGAATATGCTACAAGATATTTGACAATTTTTCATTTTCGAGTATTGAATATCTTAAAATAATAGTGCTAATTCAAAACAAATATTATTTAAACATTTGACTTCAGATATTAATTTAAAGAAAATTCTATCAATGATCCCTTAATAGCTTTTGATCTAACGAACGTATCTTCACATTATAGGATATTATTTTTCTCAGGTAAAGAACTTCACTATTTACCTACTGGAATCTGGCAATAACTTCATTTGTCTGCATTGTATTTGTACCAATCATCAAAACATGAATGCAATGAGAAACCTGCATGCTTTTTTTTATGTTTTAAAATAAAACATCATGCCCTTTTATAAAGATAGACACCAATTTCAGACCGGTGCTATAACTAGTTATTTTGTTATTAATAGTTAAAATTGTTTGAGTAGCCCCGCCCCCTGATGACGTCAAAGTATGGTACAACCACGCCTCCCATGTTGTGAAACGGTGAAAGCATATGCCCTTCTGAGTATAAATTCTGAGAAATGGCTCCAAGCAAAAACTATGAGTGTTGCACTGTACCATGTGCAATAGTTCTATGTTAGACACGCCAAATAAATTATTTTTTAGTGTACCAATAGGAGAAAAAAGACTTAGTGCAAAGGCATCAAATGCGATGAAAAAAATACTCGCAAATTGTCTGCAACTACTGCATTATACCACCTTGTTCTAGGAGGTGATGATTATTCTGTTGCTAAGACCATTTTACAAAAACTTACTTAATTATAATTTAATTCTATAAGATTGTTTTTCTGATTGATAAGCTTCTCTGAAAGAATAATTCATTATACTGAATCAGGGTGCGTAGCGTTTGTAAAAAGTACTTAAAGGTGCTTTTTTGGGGGATTTCGTTTTTAAAAGCTTTTAAAAGTGCTTTTTTCAGCTGGTGTTTTTAAAAAGTGCTTTTTTTCCACAAATTTTTTTTTCTTCAGTGATATCTGGTGGATCCCATGCATTTCACGAAAAATGGGGTGTTTGCTACGTAATCATTCACGCGGACTTCATGTCGTACCCACGTTATGACTTGCGCATGCGCGCACACTCGAAACTGAAACCCGAGTGCTCCAATTCGGATAGTCAGATCCTAATTAAATGTTTTTCTTTTTAATTTATTTTAATTTTATTCTTGTTTATTTTATTTTACTTCAAACACTTTTCTGACGTAGGGGGTAAGGGTACTTTTGTTCTGAGTTCAGGGTCAAGTTGAATTCACTCGGTGATGTGGGAAAGTACTGATTGTTTTGATTTACGTCCGTTTCTTTTTGGGTTTTTTTTAACGCTAAAACTCTTTATAAAAAGTTTTTGTTTTTCAATAATATCATTGATTGAATATGAATTTTTTGAGTACTTGAAAATTTTTGTAAAGTGCTTGAAAAGTTTTTAAAAAGTGCTTATTTTTGATTCAAAGAT